TTACTGTTTTATATTGTTGATTACTGGGCTGAAGGTCAATATTATTTATTTCTATGAGTTGAGCATCATGATCGGATAAGCCATTTATAAAGGGTCCTACAGTATAATCTCTTAATTTTGAGTTATCAATGAATATATTATCTATCGCTGAACTAGAATTATTTTGAACTCTTGTGGGAAAGTTAACAGTACTGGAGAGATTGTAAGATGATAACAAAGAGTCTAAATTTAGTTTCCTATTACTGTCGATGAGATAGTTTATATTTATATCACCACAAATTATAAATTCAACTTTTGAACCATGCAGTACATTTAGGATGGTAAAACTGTGTGACAAACCAACAATGTGTGATGAGACAAGGGAGGCAATTCAGAAAGCAGTGCATCAGTGTCTTCGGATGGCTGGAACGGAATTTTACAGAAGGGGAATTTTCAAACTCCCAGAATGCTGGGAGAAATGTGTACAAAGAAGTGGCGATTATGTGGAAAAATAAAGAAAGGTCTGTAGATTGAGGTGGTGTATTTGGTTTGTCAATAATAAAGCATGTTACTTTACAAAAAACTGTTGCTCATGACTTTCAGTACGACCCTCGTACAGTATGCACAAATGATTCTTCACCAAGTTTAACTTTATTCATTCTGGTCTGTCACACTAGTTAATTGTTATAAAATGAACTGACAACACTGTCCAGTGTGACTCAGTATATATTCATATACAGTGCCTTTACATGTTTCGGTCAGTTGTGACCATCTTCAGAAGGAAATAACAACCTGCTAAAGTAAACATTATTACATAGATCATAGTTCATATGCTTAAACTTTTGTATAAAGATTTCTAATTATTAGCATTAAAAAGGTGTTTAAGATAAAAATATATTATTAGTTTTTTTAATATTTAAAATCTTGAACTTCTGAGGTTTGTGTCTTGGTGCCTCTCCTGTCAACATGGGAGACTGGGGTGTTATTTTCTATCCACCAACGTCTAGATCTTCAAAGTGGTCTCTTTCTTTAAGATTTTTCTGTTGAAACTTCATACAGAAGATCCTCATTATGCAAACTGTTCTAACCTCCTGCTACTTCCTCTCTCTCTCTGCAAGGTTCTGAACAGAACTTCGGTTCAGACAGTGCTGTGACAGCAACATGCATGTCCTTGTGTGACACAAATTTAAACAATCTTGGAGTTTCCTGTACTTCTGCTACAACTACTACTGTAAATACATCATCCAAAATGGATCTATAACTGCCAAACTAACTCTAACTAACTTCTAAGTGGACTTACACTGCCAGGGTCTTCATAGATGTCAGTGGATATGGTCTCTCATGTGGACAAGCAAAGAAGAAAGCAGTCATGCAGCTACAGAGAAGTAAAACAGGAAGGGACTTGTTAGTTAGGATTTGGTAGTATTACTGGAACAAAAATAATTACAATAAACAACATAAAAAATAAATATTATTAGTAAGCTAACAGATGAAACCAAAACTATCTACCTATTAGTTACAAATGTTATGGAAAGCTAAGTACCTTACTTTTCCTAGACACAGGAATTGGGAGAATTCAGATATGTTACTGGAAGCTATTGCAACCAAGCAATAGTGGCATGAGCTGGCAGGTGGATTTGTGTATTTGTCTGCTTATGGATGGTGAAAATGAAGGCAAACATGCAAGTTGTTCTACTGTCACCTTTTGTCACAACACCCCACATCAATGGCATTAAGAATGTTTGGCATTAAGTATATATCCACAATTTAGTATACAATTGATGTTACGATTATGATTAAAAACATAAAGATAAAATAAAAAAATATGAATGTAGAAATATTAAAAATATAAATAGCATAAAAATTAATTGTATGTTGTATTTAAAACTCAGGTTAATAGATTATTGAAGGACGCAATGTGGGGGCTGGTTTTTATGGCCCACCCCTTACATATATTACATTACTTTAAAACTCAGGTTAGATGCTGTGCTTGGTCACGTGCGGTCTTCAACTGACATATGTTGGTATGCTGAAGGGGGGGGGTTGTGTTATTCCTCACTTCTTGTTGTGCAGATCATATACAGAGTGTAAATAAATATATGTTACAATGCTCTGCGGTAGATAGATGGGTTCAATGCTATCATATTTAGTTAAAACACCCATGTCCAGAAACGCTTTGTTTACGGGCTAGTTCCTCTGAAATGTGAAGAAGGATGCCCTTACCTCTTACCTCTGTGGCTTACTGGTGATAATTACCTAACATTTCTCCAAGAGATCTTACCCGAGCTGCTGAAAGTGGTGCCTTTGGAAGTCCGTCATGAACTGTGGTTCCAGCACGATGGCACCCCAGCACACTGCATTAATGTCGCTTGTGAGTATTTCTGTGGATATGGGCACTGGCTTGGTTTTCTGTAGTACATGATTTATACATGTACCAAGAAGTGGTACAATCATATAAAATGTCTTATACTCAACATGTTCTGCTTATTATTTGAGGACAAAGGTCTCTATCTTGAAACACTTACATGCATGGTAACACTATTCTGACATCTGCTGAAGAATATTCACAAAACCACTTAAACGTTGCGGAACCATCCATCTTAGGGCATACGAGTTCAACTTCTTGAAAATGACAAGTCAATATTTATACAGTATAAAATCTGTTGCAAGCAGAGCTTACCAGGCTGCACCAAACTACAGCAAGAAGCTGCCGAGTCTTACTGTTACAAGAAGCAGCTCACTGACCTGTGCCGGATGGATGGCTGCATGCGCATATCTGTGGAAGCTGAAGCAGAAACAGGCCGCTGACGATGCCTGTGTGCAGGGCGGTGGAAGCGTAGGTTTAGTTGAGACTGGTCCGTGACATACTTGCATTCCCTCTCCCTACGCCGCCTGAGTGCTGGTGTGCATGAGGTCAGCTGTTGCTGGGCTGCAGTATCATCCTCTGCTGAGCTTGTGTTGTTGGAGCCTCCCCCCCGGGCATCTGGTAAAGTGGCACAGCGCCGTAGTGGCAATACTGCCATGGGTACACAGGAACTTGACTCTGAGTGGAGAAGCATGTTGGTAAGGGCTGTCTGGTCTTCTTCATACAACCTGTAATTATCACACATTGCTTGTGCATGTGCAAGCCAGTGCAACAGTGCGAAGTGCTTCATGCCAAATGCGATTCATGCTCTTCACACCAATACCTTACATTGTACACCATTTGGTTTAGTTCTAACGCTATGAGTCGAGTGTTCTCATTCTAAGATGTTTCAGCTTCAGAGATTACACAGCATTGAGTGAGACTGGAAAGCAGTTACAAGTGACAAACAAAAAAAGAATTTGAAGGAGGATGTCACTGCCTATTTAAAAGATGTATTCCTCTTCAATCGGACTAGTCAAAATAGCCAGTTTTCTAATCAGACAGGTTACTGCTGTCCTAACCTGCCCAATATTTTGAGATACTAACAACAGACACTTCAAAATCAGTTTTAGTTTTAATGGAGTGAGAAGTACTCAGCCAGATGAATGGTCATGAGTCCTAACAGGTAGAAATTCCTTTCCCATCTGGTATGAGGACTTCCCTTAAACCACTTAAACAGAGTGGCAACTATATATACCACCTGCTTTTCAGTTCATAAACTCTGCATTCTGTCCTCAGAGTGTATTTATTTATCTTGCATTATTCTCGGAATAACCACCAGTTATTTCCCTATATTGTATTAACCACTGGGTCTTTCTTGATAGAGATGCAGCACATTTTCTGTCTAGATGGAAATAAATTCTTAAATATTATTCTAGTATAACTTGTACCTCAGGGGCTTAAGTTGCATACCACTGTGTAAGGAATTTATTAGTGTAAATCTCTACACCGTATGAGATGCAAATTTGAATATCCCCTACATGGCAATTTTTCAATTAAAAATGCATTGGCCTAAAAATTGAGCATGAAACTATACACAACTCACCCAGCTCTGTCTTTACATTGTGACTGAGTAATTAAATGTCACATGTGAAGTGACTGGCCTCATAACAGTGAGGCAAGGAATGTAAAAGCCCATGTAACAAGATCTGGTAAGACAAAAATAATGCTCTAGCCCACACAACTAGGTATTCAGAGTCTGAAATGGATATGAGATATTCTCAGTACTCAGTTGTTTTTGTTTGCTGGTTATATCTTGATTTACTTAACTTAACTGTGTGTGACTGAACAAACTGATCTAGTGGTAACACTCTAGACTTTTATAAAAGTTCAAGTCTTGGGTATGATATCAGCTATCCTGACTGCGGCTTAGCACGTTTTTCTCAGTCCCTCCAGGCAAATACCAGAACAGTGCTTTAATTAGCCCATGATGCATGACTATTCCCTTCCATATACTATCCAACTCAGTGATCAACCTATCATTCAAAACTACGCAGTCCATATACTGAAAGTGTAGTAAAATAACCATAAAAATACAAAGAAACATATTCTCACGTTTTTGGGTAACTAAGATTAACTAACTTGGATTTGCAATTGGATTTATTAACAACCTACATGTCGTAATTACAAATAATTATTACACTATTGCTGATATATACAATTTATGATCACTCCACACTAATCTCTTCAGTCTTATCTCCACTAACCTTCACAAATGTATAACACAGGAAATAAATCACACGCTCCCAATACCACTGCACTATAGCATACATAAAGTCTTCATTTCACATGTTAAATCCTCACAGGCCGACCTCCTGCACCTTTCTGTATTCCTAGTCCCATTTTATTCTATTCGTGTGCTTCTGCTGCTACTATTTGTTTATAATTGCCCTCAACTGAACTCTGTCATTGTCACTGTCACTGTCAGTGCCTTGGTTAGTCCTGGAATCTCGTTATATATCCGCAGCACTGACCACAGAGAAATAACAGTTCTATTGTAAGAACCATTGCATAGCCTAGCACATGGTCACAGACAATCCCATTCCTACCGCTGCTTGGAGTGGACAACATAGAAAACACAGCTTTCTTTATTGCTGCATAACATACCATGTTTATAGAGCTACTGCCTGGCAATACGTTGATCAAATGCATTACAATATAAAATAAAACAATTTCACATATTATATAACAACAGAAGAGTACTGAATTGTGTCAAATGAGTTCAGGAAATGAAATGAGACTGTCAAGGCCTACTTTTTGACACTACCACAATACATGGTTAGCGAGACTGGATGAAATAATGAAAAACCTCAAATAAGATAGCTGGCCTCTGAGCTGAGAATTCGACATGAGATCTTCAATATAAGGTGGGAGAGTTAATCAAAATATTGAATCTCTATTTTATTAGAATAGATGAAAAACCAATGAGGCTGGTAAAATGATAATTTGTGCTATACCTCAATATATGACACATACTTCATGATATGAACAGAAAATTACAACAGTGTGGTTATGAAATGATGGTGAAAATTACCTTGTCAGCTCTGCATCAATGAAGCTGGTACGTGGGCTCTTAACAGGGACTGGAATCTTGCTCTTAGTGGCAGATGTTGTGCTGGTTATTGTTATTGTTGACACTGTTTGCAGCTGTTGCTGCTTTCTGCTTTGCTCCTCAGCTTCCAGAACCGGGGACAAGCAAGAAGAATGACGGCGAGACAATTCCTACAACATCAACATCCGACTATTTTAAAAATTAAATTTTGTGGTTAACTTTTATTGTCTGTTTTCTTTAAAATGCTCTGGTCTATGCACGCTGAAGGAAACTCTACCTGAAAAAAATTATACATCATTTCCATTGGTACGAATAAATCCTCATTACCTGAAAATTGTCAGTCACAACCTTCAAGCCTTGCACTGTTGCTGTGTACGTCACTTTTAGCACATTAAAAAATCCATAGATAATTTGTATGGATTTTAAGAGCCATTTGTGTACAAAATTTCACACATCCAGGGCCATTAGTTTATTCACTGGTGCTGCCAAAGGTAAACAGAGATTTTGTATAGCTACCATACTGTTTGTCACACATGAACATGCAGACACAAATGGAAACTACACATAAATATCACAATTTTCACAAAGGTTTCAGGACCAAACATTAAGTGGAATTAGCATGACTTTCATTACTTCATAAGTTCGCATGATGCTACATTTGTATTAGTAATGGTAGGAAATCGGTTTATCCAAAGGATGGATAGCCTACAACTGCATGGTGTTCAGACAAAGTTTCATGAAAATCTGTCACCTGGTTCAAAAATTTTCAGGGGGTACACGCCAGCACACACACTCCTACGCAATGGGTATATGGGACTCTTTACTTGGGGGTAAACTGGCTGGGTGTCAAGGTGACCACTCACCTCCATCTAGTACCAAGGTTAAGAATGCATGAGCTACAGTGCAAAGCCCCTATATTATCACAGTACGATGCTTAATTAGGAAAGAGACAACAGCCTTTATATTCTAACATTACATATTTGTATTATTCCTCCATCCCCATATTTGCCTACTTGGTGGAGGCCTTTCTATGTTTCTAAACCAAAATTCAGACTAAGATTTGATGATTTCATGACAAGTCAATGAAATTAAATCTTCTTGGTGATCAGCCATGTCTATATAGAATGAATTTCCACACTATCATATTTCATTTCTTGAGGAGACTGCATTTTGTGGCGCTGAGTTAATTTAACTATGGAAACATAAATTACCAACCTAATGTATTAGTGATTTATACTCAAGGATGGCTAGCATTTGTTTCTAAATGTGCCTCACTCCATTTTTTCTTATGCCACCACATTTACACCAGCTCCGATACCTGCCTCAAATTCATAAGGAGTCAAGTGAGAAGTCAAGCACTCACTTGCCCATGTTCTAATTGCACTGTATGACTTCATGATTTCATTTTGAGAGAGACTGGCTGACATTACATAGGATACAAAGCAGCTACTGCTTTTACTGCAAATGAGATTCCTGCATGAAGCTATGAATTAAGACTGTGGTCTTCTGAGTTGTGGCACCATAAAATTTTGTAGGTGGTTATTTCGGCCCAGTGGTTTAGAGAAACCTGTTACCTCCATATTCAGAGCAGAAGTGAAGATGGAAAAGAGCAGATTCCCATACGGTGTCACAACCAAAAAGACCACAATCTTACATTTTACTGCTACGGAATCCTCAAATTTCTTCTAGGAAGAAGTTATAATATCTGCTTTCCTGCAAGTGCATTCATATGAACAGATAATTCTGCTTAGTAAACAATTTTATAACAAAATTCCCGTATCTTTCAGCTGTCAATCCGATCATAATCAGCCATTAACACGTTAATAATTTCCAAGATATGAACAATTACATAAAATTAATGGAGTCTGAGCATGTGTGCCCCCCATACACACACACACAAAACAAATAATACTTATATCTTGTTGGTATTCTTATTTTTCTGCTATGTGTTTTGGTTCTAATGGACCATAATTACATGGACAACACAACTACAGAGTTTACAGCTATAATGCAAAATTTATGTGTTGGATCCATCACTGAATGTACAATATATTGGAAGTGTTTGTGTAATCAACAGTCATGATATAACAGTTAAAACAGAAAAAGTTGACAGTTGCAGTTGATAACGGAAAAAAGCCCCTGGTAACCAGTGGACCCTCCTCGTTGGTGTTTCCACCTTATCGTGGTGAGGGGGTTTGAGTATGCCAAGGACCCTGAGAGCTATACCAGCGGTAGCGTAGCTACTGGCAGGGCCTCCCTTGCTGGACAGGTCAAAGGGTAGGCATCAGACGAAGAGAGACACCAAAAACTGATGCCGGAAGCAGCGTCATCAGCAGCGACTTGAAGCACAGAGCAAATGATGCTCGAGATGGTTCAAGTTCGTATAGCAACAGGCGTGACCAGAGTGGTTTGAACGGCTGTTGTACTGCGATGTGGAAAGCAAATGGAAAAACTACCATATTATCACTTTTCCTGGATAGTCTCTTTCCAAAAACAGAGATACCATGTAGCACGAGATGTTTCCTCTGGAGACAAAACAAACCAGAGGGTCGTATAGAAGTGACCAGAAGACGAGGAAGAAGACGTAAGAAGATGCTGTATGACCTTGGGGACAGAACAGGATATTCTCATCTGAAGGAGAAAGCTCTAGATCGCATTAAGTGGAGGAACTGTTTTGGAAGAGACTGTGGACCTGTCGTCTGACAGATTACTGATGAGTGAATGAATGAAACCAGTGGACAGAAGGATTTGTGGGTCCCAGAGTTGGACCGGATACACTGGTATCTAACCCTGATTACTAAGTCATCCAGTCCATAAACTAGTCACTATACCAATTAATCCTGCTCAGTTACTCTTCAAATTTAGTAACTTAATTTCTTTTACCTTTATTAAATAAAACACTAATGCAGTTAATTTGGAATTTGTATTCATTAGCCCTACTCATATAATGCAATAAAATTAAGTATGATGAAACTTGCCATATGTAAGTCAGTTTGTTGAATTTTTGACGCAAGCATGCACTCACACACTTTCCATTACCATAAATTGATAACTCTATGAGGGGGGACCCAAAAATAACCGGAAACGACCTGTTGAGCGCGCATGCTTTGTAGTTATGAGTTGTGCTGCTAGGTGGTGTTAGGTGGGGATCTCCCGCGACTGTTAGTGAGCTGGCATCAGTCTGAGTTAAGTGGTTTGTTTGTGGTGCTCTGTTGTGTGCGTTCCTGTTTCAACCCTTTGGCGATTAGTGAGATGGCCGACCAGAAGGAACAAAGAGTGTGCGTGAAATTTTGCTTTCTGTTAGGGAAAACTGCAGCCGAGACTGTTGGGATGCTTCGGCAAGCCTTTAATGATGATGCTTTGGGGAAATCACAGGTCTACGAGTGGTTTTCCCGTTTCAAATCTGGCAACATGTCAACAGAAGACATGCCACGCCCCGGGCGTCCTTCGACAGGAAGAAATGACGAAAACATTGCCAAAATCAAACGTGCAATTGATGAAGATCGTCGAAAGACCATTGACCAACTTTCTGAGGAAACGAACATCTCATGGAGCACGGTCCAGCGAATTTTAACCGAAGGTTTGCACATGAGACGGGTGTCTGCAAAATTTGTTCCTCGCTTGCTCGGAGATGACCAAAGAGAAAACCGCGTGAATGTTTGCCGCGACTTGAAGAGTGAAGTGCAGTTTTCCCTAACAGAAAGCAAAATTTCACGCACACTCTTTGTTCCTTCTGGTCGGCCATCTCACTAATCGCCAAATGGTTGAAACAGGAACGCACACAACAGAGCACCACAGACAAACCACTTAACTCAGACTGACGCCAGCTCACTAACAGTCGCGGGAGACCCCCAGCTAACACCACCTAGCAGCACAACTCGTAACTACAAAGCATGCGCGTGCAACAGGTCGGTTCCGGTTATTTTTGGGTCCCCCTTCGTATTCCTGAGTTCTTTAACAACAGTATATAAACAACACAGAATTGCTTACTAGAAGCTCCTTATACAAGTTAAATGGAAGTTGTAACATTTTTTATTCTTGGGGTGGGATGAGACCAAATTCCTTGATATTGCAGTTGAAAATCAGCCTACTGCACCGGCCCCACATGGCAATGAGAGAATGGGACATTAGTGGAATGGTAACCAGTTGGGAAAAAATTAAATACTCAAAGCAAAATCTCCCCAAAGTCACCCTATCCACCAAAAATTCCATGTGGAATATTCTGAGATTGAACCCATGGCCCCATGACGTGAAGACTCGACTAGCAGCCTAAGATAAGGCATGGCCTCCATTGCTGTGGCACAGACCATATGCCTTTTTATTCTAAGACTCAGAAATGTGATGTTTAAACATGAACTCTTGATGCGACTCATATTGGTTTCCAGTATATATATACTTCAGACCTCACACTGGTCCAAGGCTAAAAAGTACTGTGATGAAAGCAATACCTTGTCATGTTGAGATCCATCTGAAATGTTATTGTTTAACTGCTGAGTATTATCTGAAGTTCCTACATTCTCTTCATTTGCATCAAAGTACACAGATGGATCGTCCTGTCCCACTCCACTGGGACTAACTGGACTGTTTCCCTCATTGTTAGTCCCTGCAGACAGCAAATTTTCAATCTCAGTTAGTGCCCCAAACATTTAACTATGATAACACTCTATTACATAATGCCTTCAAAGCTATTGTAAGTCCCAACAAAAAGTGGCTGTCTAGTGGTAGGGTTGCTACCTTTAGGCCTCTTGTCAATGTCTGTTGGCCAAACATTAACTGGGGGGGGGGAACAGAATATCAAGGAGGCTTCTATTATACAGAACAAGCCCTACTTGAAAGATGATGTTTTCAGTGTTATATGTGTACTGACAATAGTGTTCGTGAATTTGCCACTGTATGCTTGACGTGAAAGCAGCGGGACAGAAATCTCAGTATAGTTTCATGACGTTGGTATATCAGTGTTTCACAGCTGTGTTGTTGTTCATCTGTGGCAGTCTCTTTCTGAGTGGCATCTATTATTGTCTGAGTATGTTTTGGTGTGCCTTTGCAAGAATGTCAGAGCTTCCTGTTAAACATGGCAGGAGTGGAAGTGAAATAAGAGAGATGTTAGTGCAAGTTTATGGGGATACATGTGGGAGACACGTTTTTCTGAGGGAAGAGAAAGTGTCACTGATGAAGAGAGATCAGGATGGCCAACAATGAACAGAACTGAAGAAAACATTGCAAAAGTTCGTCAAATTATGCGTGAAAATCGTCGGTTGATGTCAGGAGCATAGTGGAGCAAGCAAACATTGACAAAGAAACAGTTAGGAAAATCTTAACTGAAGATCTTGTATGAGGAAGTTGTGTGCAAAAATGGTCCCAAAGGAGCTCACCAAAGAACAGTGTCTGTGAGGGAGTTTTTAGCTAGTAAGCAAATAAGTGAGCTGGGACACCCTCCCTATTTATGGGATCTAGCACCTGATGATTTTTTTCTGTTCCCAAAGTTGAAAGAAATATTGAAAACAAGGCATTTTGATGACACTGGTGACATCAGGAGTAATACGACGGCAGCTCTGAAGGCGATTCCACAAAACCAGTTCCAAAATTGTTTTGAAGGGTGGATCAGGCGCTGGTATTGATGCATAGCTTCCCAAGGGGAGTACTTTGAAGGCAATCACAGTGATATTCAGCAACAAGGTCTGTAGCACTTTTACTGCGATGAGTTCACGAACTTTATTGTCAGACCACATAACTGTTCAGTGTTCTGTACTGATATAATGTATATTTGTAGGTTTATGTGCCAAAAGAATATGTGCTGGACTTTGTCTATGTTATTTCATAAATGCGAGATATAAAGGAAAAAATGAATGAAAGACAAATGGTGATGGGCACTGTAACTTTAGATCATTAGCAGTGTTGTTTAACAAATAAGATCCGAACAGAAAAAACTTTAAAAAACACCACAAGTAAATGTGATTGCTTCTAGCAGAAGAAATGGCCCCATGGCATCCTGATGGGGTTTGTCAAATCTTTAAAAGGGCAAAAAATGGTAAAAATTTTACAAACGAAGACAAATCATGTGTATCTCATTAACATTTGAAGTTTCTTGTATATCACTGTACAGAAAGCAAACATGACCTGTTTATCTACTTTTTTCATATAACTTATACGAAGTCAACTAGTGTGTATGCAATCTTTCTTCACTTTGATTTCACTCACATTAAATAATAATAACAGCAAATTTCAATATCCTTTTAAAGAAAAGGAATGCTATATGCAGCACTGGCAACTTCTAAAAATCTCAACTCTTTCAATTACCTTTCTTTTTAGGACACAAATATTTTTCCCAAAAAATGAAAATCCATTATTCGTTCATGTTAATAAAGCTGACAGTGAATACATAAATGAGCAAACTGCTAGAGTAAGCAGCTGCTGTCAGTTGAAGACATTTACTGGACCAACGACTTTATGCATTAACATTACAAAATTATTCAACAGTGCAGCTATTGGCATTAAGTTAAAAGAACTCATCACTGAAGGGTGGATATACTTCATGCAGTATGCACGACTTTCTGAAGCAGCAACATTTCGCATAGTGGGGGGTTGAGTCCAACTGGGTCCACTCGGCATGGCGGCCACTGATTGCCCTATTGTACCTGGTAGACTTGAAAGGATTCTGACGATGGTGTATACTGTACTTCTTTTGGCTTATTTTGGACTTCACCCATCGTCCGGTATATAAAAAAGACAAAAAACCACAACGTTTCGGAGACTGGATCTGTCTCCGTCTTCAGGTGTATACACCTGAAGACCTGAAGTCCAAAATAAGCCAAAAGAAGTACTATTGTACCTGCCCCGGGTGATTATGATGATGGAGAATTTGGTGGAATGAAGATTGGCAGGGGGAAACCAAAGTAGTCGGAGAAAACCCGCCCCAGTGCCACTTTGTCCACGACAAATCCCACTTGACCAGACCCGGGATTGAACCCGGGCCACTGTGGTGGGAAGCCAGTGACTAAATGCAGCAACATACTATATTTATGATGTACAGAACAAGGTGTGCTATGACTGGGCTACTGCATAATTAATTATATATCTGTACCCAAAAGATAATTTTGTCTTCCAACTGATTACATGACCTCTCTCTCTCTCTCTATGAAAGAACGGTGGCTTTAAGAAGAAAAACTGTACAATAAATTTGTTATTGTGTACTGAAAGTAGCCTAAAATAGTTATGTCTGCATGCATCCCTAGTAATTTTGCATGCCAGTATCAGTTTCAACTGCATTCAATATATTCAACATAAATAACTCTGTGGCATTTAGTCCACAAGCAAACTATACCAACCGAGCAAATGCCACTTGTCAGCTAAGAGGGTGTGACATGGTCAGCGCAATGGATTCCCACAGCCATTAATCTCGGTTTTCTAGACTGGAGCCACTACTTTTCCATTCAAGTAGCTCCTCAGTTATCCTCACAAGGCTGAGTGGACCCGTTCCAGACACACTACTTCGCGGAAAATCTGGTAGCACCGGGAATCGAACCCAGAACCTCCGGATCTGTAGCCAGGAAATCTGACCACTAGACCACAGAGACATTCATCATCGGTGACATAAATACTATGAACTAATGTTGCCAGAAAATAAATTTTAAAGAAATCCTATGCAAAATTATTCTTAGATATAAAAATATTCACCATTATAAATATGCAGTAGGCCACCTCAGACCATTCCTGTTTTCTGTTTCATGTGCCATAACATACTATTTAAAAATTAACTAAATACAAAACAGGAACTTTCCTGTGTATATTACAGGCAACACACAAACAGTACAAACTATATACAAGAAAATGGTTCATTTTTAAGTGCTTTGCTTGTGTCTGATGTGGCTTCTGTGAAATAACAGGTGGGGCATTACAAAAACACAATATTCTGCACAAAACAAATGACACAACATATAAACAACAAAGCAAGGTATAGCACTACAAATATGTCAAAACATGAACTCTCACATTCTGCAAATACAGTTTTAAAATTAAAAGGAAATATCCTGAATCTGCAATATAATCCCAACATATGACTTAATGCAGATTTTTCTCTTCCCCACAGCATCCACACTGGCTCTTGGGGCCCACCCAGCCTCCCATCAATTGGTACCAGGGGCTCTTTCCCCAAGGGTAAAGTGGTAGGGGGCATAAAGCTGACCACTCATTACTTTTTTAACTTATACATGATTTGATGACTTATGAACCTTCTTGGCCTAAATAACTCAAATGTCCTACCAGCTTTAACAGCAAAGGCATGTGCAATGACTTGCTCCTATGCAAGATTCTGCCTAATCTAATGGGGCAATGATAATGAATATTTACCACTGTTTCCATTCGTAATGGCCCCAACTTTAAATGACTCCAGTTTTGTTAACCCGTTTAATTCCTCAGGCTTCAAATTCCTGTCTGACACTACTTCTGTCACTTTTTCACTTCTGCTCTCCATCGTGACTGGCATCCGTGACAGTATGCTGTCTTCACCATTGACTGCAACGAAATGGTTGCATTAAACTGATAAGAATGTTTGTGGATAACAGTCAAACCACATTAACTCACTTCTGCACTTAACATAACAGAATATGATAAATTAAATATACCCTGCACCATTCTGTGTAAGAAGGGACACTTAAATTAATGATCTAACAGCATCAGGATACAGTGAGTTTATACAGTATGTTAAGCAGTTAAAGGCAACTTAAATGAATGTGGATAAAAGAAAGAGAAGCCCTCCTTTTTCATATGGGACATACTACGATCACCCATCCTGTAAAAAATGCAAGAGATGCAACACTGATGTGTGTTATGTTCATAGCACTGCTGGACTATCATGGAGCATGAGAACTGTCTACACATGGAATGTGCCAATCCTTCTGTAATGAAAGTATAAAGGGTGGGCTTTCTTGGCCCCTGCACCATGACCACAGGGATCTATTGTGCTTCAATCCTCCTGTAGAAAAAATGTTGAACACTGAGGGAAAGCCTAGCCAGTATTGGGACTCAATTACAGTTCAGCAAAAAAGGAACTCAGTTTGATTCCTGGCAGAGGCAAGAGATTTTCTCTTCTCCATAGCATCAAGACTGGCTCTGGAGCCCATAAGTCTCCTATCAATGGGTGCTGGTAGCTCTTAACATGGGTAAAGCAGTTAGCGTATGAAGCTGATCTTCATTTGCATATTGTGAAGCTGATGATTCACCTTCACCTAGTACTAAAGTTAAAAATGAGAGGAAGCACACTTCCATTCTCCATACATCTTCATGTCATGGTGCTTAATTAACCAGTTAAGTGCATATATTTTGGGCTGTTAGCTGTCCCTCAGTGGGGTATTCAAAAGAGAGAACCTCTCTCAGTGAACAGCTACAAAAATATAAATGTTTTCAATATTTTTCTTCCTTGAAAAAAGTCTTCATTATCCTGCTGGTAACTTTCATTATTTCACCTTTGTTTAAGGCATTCCAGTGGTGGACCTCAGAGCTTAGTTTTAGATCAGCTGTGTTTTGAAAAAAAACTGTTGGGTGTGACTGTTTCTCTGTTTACTAATTTGGCAATTTCAGGTGTAATAAGTAACTCAGCATATACCATTGGGTTCTCTTCTAAATCAATAGAAAATGTGGCCATCCAGTGCCTTTCTCTGTGTACCATGCTGGATATCACTGAACTATCTTCACCATCAGAGATGAAACTTCGTCCACTAGTTGATGAAATTTTCACATTCATGTCACTTTCACTACTAGACTCACTCTCAGAAATATCACTACATTCATTATCTTGCAATAATTCACATAACACTTCTTTATCACACATATGCATACTCTTGCTAGACTCTTCCATAATCTTGATTAGCAAACACTCGAGCCCAGGAGAGCTTTTAAGCACTCTGCATTTCTTTGTTTTTAATTTCAGAGCTAACTAGAAGGTCTAATAAACACAGTGCACTGCTAACAAGTACAGTCAAGTGTTCTCGTACGTCAATTCTTAATTTGTATACTATACAAATATAAAGTTCAATACTTCACAATGTCATCCAGTATATGAGACATGACTGCTGCAATCAGAAAGGAGATAGGCTACGGACTGATAGGGCAGGGCCTGATTTCTGGCAAAGGCACTGGAAACTTTTCTTCTCCCCACAGTCTCCAGAATGGTTTAGATTCAATGGGTACAGGAAGATCCCCCCCCCCAGGTACATTTGCCCAGAGAGTTTCTAACTACTCACCTCTCATCTAGTGCCAAAGTTAACCCTGTGATATGTATACGCTCTGGTAAAGCACAATAGATCACCGAAGGCCGCAGTGAAAGGGCTAGATTATTATGCCCCCCCCCCATTAGGCATGCATTACTTCATTCATATGTTCTGGTAAGAGTCATTAGCTGGCAAGTACAAATAATAACCAGTGATTATACATAATTCCCACAAGGATATTTAGTTCTACTGTTAGGCATGAATATGCATTTATATATACAGCAATACCTCACATAGTCCAGGCAATCGGACTGTTTGAAACCGGAGTAATAGAGGAACCAAATACATGCAAAAAATGATAATTGGTTAAAAAAATCTCCGTTTTTCAATAAATAAAACGTGATTAATAAATTCAAATGTCTTTATTATAAATAATTTTTAAAAAATCACGTTTTTCGCAATTATTTTTATTCTCTAAAAATTGCAATATTGATGTCTGCACATTTTTCTTCTTTGGCCTTCTCTCTTCATACATTTCTTTGTAGCAACGAAAGGCATTGTTTATCATTCGGCGAATTGTAAGGCTATGTTCAATATTGGGATCAACTTCTGTAATATGCTCTGACAAGGTTTTAACCATTCCAATAATTTTTTATAGTTGTTCGGCTGTTGATTCTCATGCAGGCACGTCAACACAGTCGTCGTTGTCTCAGTTGTTCTCCCATTCTTCATAAGCCCGTTGTTCGTCTATGTTAATAAGTGTTTCATTATCTAGTTCATTAGAGTTCGATTTGATGCACTCAATTACGTTGACAGAATCCAACTCACTGAAACCAAATTTCTGTCCAATTTCCACTATGTTATTACTGACTTCAGCAAAATGAGTTTCAAATCCAATGAAATCATTTGCACAATGTGGTATGATATGTTTCCATACTGCCCTCATAATGCTTGCCGTTAATTCATGCCATGCTTCACCTATATTTTCGATGATATTTCTGATGTTGTAGCTGTTCCAAAATTCCGTTAAAGTAGTGCTCTCCCCACCTCCTCCAGCGATAGCTGTCAGAGCTCAAGAACGAACGACCAGAGCATAGGTACATACATATACGATGGGGAACCACAGAAAAAATTGAAATATGTATCATATCGCATAACTTTAAAACCACATAAAAATAAACAGCACAGAAAGAGGCTTGACTGTATAAAGAAAAAAAAAAAGATCATTTATGTATTAAAAATAATTTTGTGTACTAATCTTTTAGAATTTATTTTCATTTTGCTCAATTAAAATTTAGTTTGTTTTGAAATTTTCAAACAGAACTATAGTGAATCTGGACTGATCGAAGCCGGACTGTGCCAGGTATTGCTGTAAATACAAGTGACTGTGTACATGTAAAATATCCATCATGTGCTTTGGGAATGTGACAAAATTGTACACTCTAAGATTTTTCATTTATTAAATATTGAAACAGAGTGAATCAATACATTTTTGCTACAGCAACAACAATGCAAAAAGAGACATGGGAATGTTACTATGAAAAAATCTTCAGACTTTTTACACATTTGGAATTATGCAAAGAATAAAGAAAAGTAGTTAAAGTGTCAAGAGCGAAATTTGTTATTTATTAAAACTGAAAAAACACTAACAAGCCATACTACCTCTTGTTTAGATGGTAAAATACCTCATGCATCAAAGAATTAAGAACACATGAAGCTTATTGAACTGAAGAATTAAAAAGAAATGAAGCTCAATGGAATAAAAGCATTAAGAATTCAAAAAGCTTAATGAATGAAAGGGTAAAGAATATACAGAGCTAATGAATCAAAAGGCTAAGAACACAGAAAGCTTAATGAATCAAAACATTTACAATGGATAATGTTTAATAAATCAAAGGGTTAAGAGTATAATGAACACATGAACCTTATCGCCTACACGTCTACACAGGATGACTCTCACTACTATATTTTCCCCGTACACTACCTTTAGGTTGATGTTCCCTTGCTTCATTTACTTCTGGTTTCTTGGCAGGAGCTTGACTTGTTGGTGGCAAGTTGTTGTTCACAGTCTCAACCACTGCTGAGCCTTCTGCACGGTCCAGGACTCGAATCTCTAATCGGCCTGCTACAGGCTCCATTGCATTTCCTTCGTCATCTTCCTCTTCCTCCTCCTCTTCTTCCTTTTCTACCTTCTGCACCTCCACCTGTGTCTGAATTTGGCTCGGCTTATTTTTAACATGAACAGCCTCCCCTCTACTAACTGCAGAAGTTCTGTCTGTTTTCGTCAAGGGACATGAGTTTAGAGCAATTGTCTGAAAAACCCAAACAGCAACACATAAGAATGTAGCTGGTTTAAACAACTCCTTGAAAATATGGAACAATATACAAATACCGCCATCACAGTGTTCAGGCAGTCTAAGGCATGAACTGTCTTCACTTGCTTGAACATTGGGATCATGGGTTTGAATCCCACTCATGGCATGGATGTCTGTCTGCATTTATTCTGTTTGTGTTGTCCTGTGTAGTTAACAGCCTTGAGACAGGCTAATCCCCCATTCAAGAAGACCTATCAACTGTCTTAGATTAAGAAACTGAAGTGAAACAGTGTTTCATGAATGCCCTATGCTCAAAGTGGGAGCAACAGGAAAGAGAGAGATATACAAATGCCAACATCCAACATCAGTAAAGCTCACCAGTGGATTAACCCAGTGCACATCATACAACCTATTTTGCTGAGGTCCCTTTTTAATTTTATTGTATTTTTCCATCTATGCTTTATTTCTCCAAAATAACTTTCTTCCATAAGATTCCATTATAACGTTACATAATTCAGCAATGTATTTTTATCCAGATGTTTCCTACTAGAATATTTTCACAGGAAAGATATAACTATCTCTTCAGTATTAATTAAAATCTGGCTGCCAGCTTCCAGGATTTAAATATCCTATTCCCACACAATAAAGGTTAAATGAAAGAATATTTTTCTACGGTACTGTACATGAGCAACCTGCTTCATTAGCTGGGAACTTAATATATATGAGGGCTATTCAGAAAGTAACCTGCGTTTATTTTAGGCAACTAATGTAAGAGCAGGGGAGACTTCATGCATGCGAGGTAGTGTCACATGACTCATTGCATTGTAAACCAACACATGACAGTAATCTAGTGTTTGTTCTTGTCTCTACTGAGTGAATTATGTTGTGTCCTGTGATTGATAATCCCACCAGCTGCAAAATGTGTGCTGTTATCTGCTTTCTGCATGCCAAAAACATGAATGATGTGGAAATCCATCATAAATTAATAAATTCAGGTGAATTTCCACAAATTTCATGCACTATTCTCTACAAGATTTTCATGATTAGGCTAGGCTATCACAAGTTTTGAACAAGATGGGTTCTGAAAATGCTCATGTGTAAGCAAAAAACGCAGAGAATGGCTTTGGCTTCGACTGATACCACAAATACAATGATGAATTTCTCAGTCACATCATACAAGTAACAGGTGATGAAACCTGGATTTAATTTGTGAGTGTTGGAACCAAGGAGCAGTCAAAGCTGTGGATGCACACACATTCACCAAACAAAACATACATCTGCCTGCCAGAAAGCTGATGGCATCTGTTTTCTGGGACAGGTAAGGAGTGCTGATGGTGGAATTCACGCAAAAAGGGACCGCAATAATATCAGAAGTGTATTGTGAAACATTAAAAAAACTGTGTAGATCATTCAGAACAAAAGTGGTCCAATGTTGATATCCAGTGTAGTGCTCCTTCATGACAATGTGCGTCCACATATGGTTCCTTTCACTCATGCACTGCTGGTTCATTTCAACTTGGAATTGTTTGACCACCCTCCTCATGGCCCAAATCTTGCTCCAAGCAACTAAAACCTGTTTACCTACCTGCAGAACTGGTTGACATCACAGCGCTTCAACAGTAATAAGGAGCTCATGGGAGATGTTGTCAAAATGTGGCTGAACTCACGGGTAGCAGACTTCTTTTACGCAGGTAAACAAAAACTTACTCCCCAATACGACAAATGCCTCAATTCTGGTGGTGACTATGTTGAGAAGTAGCTTAAGTATGTCATATTTTTTGTATATAATAAGTTCTTTTCTCATTGGTGTGTTTTGTTAACAGCTCACTGGAGGTTACTTTCTGAATACCTCTGGTATATACATACTGCAGCCTTGTAAATTCAACACTTCATACGTTAATGGTTACACACCACTTAATCTATTTTCCATATACATCACAACATGCTTCCATATGGGGCCATTGCTAGGTATATATAATCCTGTTAGACTGCTCTACAGCTTTGTAATACTTCTCCTGACATAAGACATGAGAGTCCACACACACTAACCACCACAGCATACAGAACCAAAAAATACCCAAGAAGTATAAATGATTGCTGCAAACAGCAACATGCAACAAAGAAGAATATATGAAAAAAAGAATAATATGTACATTTTAAATTATTTTATGAAGGATCCAACTTACTCTTAAAGAGCTTTAAGGCTCTAGACTGATGCATGCGATGTTTGGATATACAGTAACATGGGCACACACTGAACTAGGCTGTTCTGTGCTGTACCATATGGCAAGTGCATGAGGGAGAGTGATGGACAGGGCAATTAGTGGCATTTAAGAGAACTACCATGTGGCACGTGAACACAGGCACAATGCAACCAAATCCTATATTTTGTAACCCAGCAGTTGTGTATGGGACACTAAAATTACTGTGTTTCAAGCATTAGAACAGTGAATGAAATTCAGATCCTGTGACCATTGCCCCAGTTAGGGATGCAGGCTTCTCAAATCACTTTCGTGGGAAAAAACAGGTAATTTGTACTGAAACTAAAATTAAGGTATGGAAAAACTTTATTAGAACTGGCCACTACATAGCTCAGGTGGTTAGCTGCTGGTCTCCCACCATGGAACGCCAGGTTTGATCCCTGGTCAGATCACGTGAGATTTTTAGTGGACAAAGCAGTAGTGATGTGAGGTTTTCTTTGAGTACTTTGGCCTCCCCTGTCAATTCTCATTCAACAAATTACTTCTCACTCATTAATCATAGTACCATGGATGCTATATAGTCTATATACAGTGCTGTTAAATAGCCACCTTAAAAGAAGAAACTCTGTTGGGTGCTGGGATCAAGCACATCGTGACATTAACAAGCAGCCTCTAGCCTACTGAACATAAAATTGCACATGCAGGCATATATATCCATGGCTACATGAACCTGTACAGAAATAAAACTAGAAAACCTTCTACACAAACTACATAAATTATTCAAACTAATTAAAAATATACCCGTGTCAGACTGTAAATATAATTGACAAGAACACTAATACATATTATGTTAAAATTCTTTATCAAATGGGCTTTATATGGGCCTGTAAAAATCATAAAGCAATGTACTGTTACTATATTCACTTCTGTGCAGGAACGCTATGAAGTTGTAATATGTCATAACTTACAGGCAAGCTTGGACGTCTCCCACATTCCCTCTCATGTTCAGCCTCTTCCTTCTCAGTCTGTGTTCGTCGGATTGCTATATTCCTCATTACATCTACTTCATACACTAATTCATCAAATGCAGCCTGCTGCAACAACGGTGCTTCTAACCATGGCCTGCAATTAAAAATTAACTCATACCACATAAGTCACTCTCAAAGACTGCCATCTACTGTTGACATGAATATAAAAACCAAGGTACATGAAATCTTGGCTCATGAAGGCATGGGTTTGAATCTCATGCATGGTATAGGCCTCATACAAAGAGACAACAGAAATTTTGATAGTTCTCTGGTGACTAAAGCATTATAACATCAGAGAGGCAACATCCCATAAATACCTGAATTAATCAAAAATATTCCTCAAAATTAATTTAATATCACTTTGCAATGTCACACTTGCACTCAATTCAGACATTGTTATAAAATAATGGAAACTACAAAACCACTCAATCACCATTTAAATTTGGAAAAGAGAGCATTTTCAAGCCAGGTAGTAAAATAAAAAAAAGTCATCAAATATAATGCTTTGAGCCAGTCATGTTTATATAGAATGCAGGAAATGAATGATACATTCCTACGTCTCATGATGTCTGCAAACATTTTGTGCATGGATTTACTGAAGTCTATGTGCATTTCTCATCACTGCTCATCACATTCATAACTGTAGCCATAATCACCCCAACTAGGAGTTTCTCACTTGTGTTGTTTCCAGGCAAGAACTTTCTGATGAAAAGTTTTACTGAGAGAATGAGATCTCCAGGGCAGAAACTTTAAGAAATCTGCCAGGCAGATCAGATACCAGTAACTGTACTATATTTGTTGGCACAGTTTAACCTCTCTATCCTCCTGATCTTAAGCTGCAGCCTGGGGTATGTGTGTGTTTCATCACTAGCAATGAAATAGCCATAAGCATTTCTATTATCTTCCTAGTTTCAGTTCAAGAATACTTGGACATAATTCTGAAGAGTGAAAAATCCCAGAAAATTGGGGAAAATACATTGATAAAAATATTCATAGACTCAGTTTATTATTGTTATTTACTCACACACTATATCCCCCTTTCTTCTGCACTTTCTACCTCTACTGCTCAAAGATATGAAAAATACCACCCCCATTTTCTGTGCCATGTGAGAACAGTATTGTAAGAAGAGAAAGATCAGTATTCTACCAGTAAAGATATGGCAATAACTATCACAGAATGTAGTGATTTAAATAAAAATAAAAAGCTGCTGTGTTGACAGCATGACTTATTATCTAACTAATCATGAAATGTAATTTAGATGAGAGCAGAAAACAGAGAATGTATGTTTCAAGCATCATCTCAGAATCTGTTAAAGGCATTATAGAAAAGTATTCCAAACAGCAGGTGAGATTGAATCTCAACTTCCCAGACATTAACAAAGCTATGTTCTGAGTGCTATTACAGCCAGAATTTGAGAGTTTAGATATTTATGAAAGACAGATGAACATATATATTGTATTTCTTACTTACCTAATGTGTCCTGCCAGTTGAGGTAAGCTCCAAGCGCGTGGTAATGATCCCTGTAACTCAACAAAACTCTCGATGCCTGCTATATTAAGGCAGCGAGGACGTGCACCAGGAGGAGGTTTCAGATATCCATTACTTGTGTTATCCACAGGTAGTGTTTCATCATGGGCCTAGTAGAAAATATGAAGCTATCACCCACATTTTATACTTAATTTAAGCAACACTTTGAGCCTGGAAGTTGCACCCACAGTATCCACCATATTCTGTCATGATGCTAAAGATTTTACTAGCACCATTCTTGGAAAGTTCCCATAAAAACCTAACTCCAATATAAAGAGTAACTTTTCATTGTTGAATAACTTACAGCTTCTAGCATCATTTGTCATCTGTAGAGGTCTCTTATCAGACAGCACTATGGATATGTGCCACCTCAAGCTTAGTCATATTTTTTGTGGTGGACAAAATGGCGCTGGGGCAGGTTTTCTCCAAGTACTTCGGTTTCCCTCGCCAATCTTCATTCCACCAATTGCTCCACAATCACCCTCACCTATCATCTGGGGCTGGTACAATAGGCCAGAAGTGGCCGCAGTACAAGGGACTTAGTCCCACCCCACTAGCAATAACAAAAAATAGTCATATTTTTGTTTCCCTTTACATCTCTTCCTTCACAGCAAAGCATACGTTACTATGCTATCCAAGCTCAAGACTACGTGCAACTGTTCACTACACTTACCAGCCTAAAATTAAACTTATATTATGAGGATGATTGTTTAACTGAGCCTGTTCAGTTTTCATATTACAGCTCATATAAAACAGCCTGGTATGGACTGGTCTGATTACAACTAAATTTTATCATATGAGAACATGAGATATAAACATTATTGATACTGCAATATCTGATTTATAACATAGTAACACATATATGACATTAAGCACTGTAAGGGGCACACGGTAGCATAGTTGGTTGAGGCACTATGCTACAAGCCGGAAGGTTGCGGGTTCAAGTCCCAGTGAGGTCATTGGACTTTTTTTCAAATGACCTAATCCTTCCAGCTGCACTATGACCCTGGGGCAGACTCAGCCTATAACAGAAATGAGTACCAGGAATATTCTTGGGGGTAAAGGGCAGCTGGTGCATAGGGCTGACAACCTTGCTGCCACCTATGAGCCGATTATCTAGAAAATGTGGGAACCTCAATATCTCACAACCCTATGGGCCTCCACGGCCTGTTACAGGGATACCTTTACTTTTTTTTTGTGTGTGTGCGCAAGAAGATAGCATAGCTGAAGCACCAGATTCAAGGGTAACCCATGAAAAGATAAAGTCATACCTAATGATAGACTATAATATAAAATTGGTGCTGACAAATTTGATCAGATGCTCTCATTCATGTTAATTATACCTGAGGTGAATACTGATGGCTGGGTTTCTCCTGGCGTGAGTCCTCGCTGATTCGAGACAATTCTGGTGGAACACGACCTACAGGGAGATTACATATGGTTGTAGTTCCTGTTGTTGCAGCAGCTGGAGCTACAGTAATGGGTGGCAGGGCTGGGCTAGACGTCAGCTGCTGTGCAGAGGCTGCTTTGTCGATAGCAGAAGTCTCGGGGACCATCATAGTGCCACCGGTATGGATGGGCTCCACCGGGAAAACAGCCTGGGGCATAAATACAGCAACCATCAGAAACTACAATTTAAAACACTGATGATTCTTCATAATGCTTTACCTGATATGGAATGTATTTGCTAATATATACAAAGCCTTACACAAAAGTGAAAAAGCATTAATAGCATTGTGACACAAATTCAGAAACTTTTTCTTCATGCAATTTATTAGGACACTGAAATGTCAAACACAATTAGGGTTGTCCATGATATGTATGCTGTGTCCATCTTGTAGTGCACTCAATTTCACCTGTTATTTCACAACATGTTTTGGCAATATAGTGCCATCATCAGGTGCTCCATTTATGTTACTCTATTGCATTGCTTGCCATTATGTCATTGTATAATTATTTAAAATATATTTAAAAATATTCGTCAATTATAATAAATTTTTATACACTAAAATCTTGTTAAGATATTCATCTTATATGTCCCAATTCAAACCCGCACATGGTTCCTCCACTATGGGAGTCGTTCCTCTTATACTCCGTGTATATCATGTCTCGTGATGTGTGTGAAATAACAGGTGAAATTGAATGCACTACAAGACGGACACGGCATACATATCATGGACGAAAATCAGTGCAACAGTACACTAAAATACAACAAAATTAGGGTTGTATTCAAGTCAGTGCGGTCCAGCATGGCACCCTGGCATATTTTTTGGGGTGTTCCCATGGCACTTTAAAAACAATCACACCAAAAGAAAAATTACAGCAAATTTAATCTTCAACATCTATATTTTAAGTGGAAGCATCAATATTTTTAATATTTGCATTTCATTATCTGTTTGTTGTTTAATTTTGTATATAAAACATAAAACCATTAAGTAATAACAAGAACAATGAACAACCTCATGTAATTTTTGTCCATTTCATTCAAACCTAACACTGCATGCCAGACCATCCTGGAACTTTCATTTTCAGGACTTCACTTTAGACTACAACTACAGAATCACTGTTCATTAAATGCAAGGTTCTTCTTTACTTTGAATAATCAAACTAACATTTATAATTCAGCAGTAGGATTAGTTACAATAATATGTTGTTTTCAATGTTAGTCATATTCCAAAACCAAACACAGGTAAAAATCAACACAATGTAGGTGAGAATAACCTTTCCATGATCAACAACACGGCTTCATCCAGACTATAGTAAATATCTTCATAACCTTACGAAGATTATGTTTCCCAAGCTGCAACTTATAAAATTATCTGAATCCAATCACTGCTGTAAATACTACAGGAAAGATATATACATAAAGCCTAAGGTATGTAATTAATAAACAGTGGTGATAGCAGTGTCTGGGTTTCATTCAGTAACACATTTTAATACACACTGGTAACAGTAGGATTTATGTCAAGTATGCTTGTCCTGTGATAGTGAGATGTAATGTGAGAAGGCAAAAATAACTGCAACATTTCAATAGCAAAGATATTTAAATATTATAGAGTAAGCAAAACCTTTATGTATTAGTCTTGAAACTGGTTCAAAATTGGTTACAATATGTAGTGATTTTGGCTTTGTATGTTCAGTTATCCTAGTTTCTAAGTGCGTGTATGTTCATTTATTTATTTTTTGTGGGTTATTTTATGATATTCGTATCTAGGCTATGTATTGCCAAAAGATGAGCAACTGATAAGTGAACCGGGAAGGATTTGTAAGAAAGAGGCCATGGTCTGACGGAGGTATTATTATTCTGGCATTTGTCTGGAAGGACCATGGAAAATTAAGAAAAACCTCAGTCAGAATAGTTAATGTCCCAGCCAGATGTCAAATTGCGCACCTCCCAAATACATGTCAACAGTGTTACTGATATATCAGTCTGCTTGTATGTGTCCTTTCATTTCAGTGGCTCCAACCTCAGGCTGTAACTTAAATCAGGGTCATTGAGATCATCACAAGAATTCCTTTACTTTTCTGATGCTGGAAAGTGACAGAAAGGTTGATCCCCCAGTTAAGAAGGTCCTGTCAGGGATACAAATAAAATAGAGTGGGAACCACTGATCCATATATAATTACACTAACAGATATTAATATCTCTTAAATGTGTAACCTACAAACTCATTTCAAAATTTCCTGCCAAAAGATGTAATGGTGGGGCAACATGTGGCAAACCCCACTACCATCGGTAGGGGGCATACCTGTGAGGTCAGGGTGTGTCTGTGCTCAGGACTCTGCAGGTTCTCACCCTTCCATTCATTATCAGTCTCTTCAGAATCATCAAACTGTGACTTCCACTGTGATGCCAGTGTCAAACCTGCACATAACATCATACAACATTACCAGGAGTGACATTTCACTATTGAACAGATCTATGTCTGTTTCATTACATTTTTGCTTCTATAAGCAGAAGTAGGTGCCAAGACAACTTTCCTGCTTATTCTGGCTTCATGCTTGGTTCATTTTTTTGATCCTGAGGATGGAGGTGATACAATCCTCTTAAACGTTGGGCTCTTTCAAAATGACACAGCATTACAACCAAGAATACCATGCGCTTCACAGGCCTCACCATGACATAACCTCAAATCCACCATATTCTTATGACAGTATATTATTTGGCACTTTGACAATGAATCCAACATTATAAAAATTTGTCTATGAGATTCAAAGCCCATCCTGAGAAGTCCTAATTTCGCCTATAAACAATTTTTTATACTCAGAGATGTAAGCATGACAAAATGGTTAACAAACAGTGGCCAAAGACAGGAAAATGTATTACGTTAATATTATAATATTCCAGAGTGAAAACATTTATATGTAAAAGCAGCATGAGATATTCTGAATGATCAGGTAAAGTATCAGCTGTCTTCCCATTGTCAAGTCTGTCCTAATTTCTGAACATTTGTTCTTTAATCGCGTGTATTTATCTGGAACATTTTTGACATTCATCTTACATTTAGAAACCCACTGCAAGTGAGCCACTTACCTCCACCTCCCCTTGTGACCTGCTGCAAAGCTGAAACATTGTCATCATCTATCACAGCAAACTGCGTGATAGATGCATCACGATTGTTCAGCTTGCAGCTAATTGGTCTTCGGGCTGTATCTCCTGACGAGTGGAAGCGCCGCACACGATGCTCTTTCACCCGTTCCTTCAATGGATCTCGCTGTTCAGTAACTGGTGATGATCCAATCAAACCTACCAGTAACAGAAAGCATATACCATGTTAGGAAATACACTTAAAAACTTTGGAGGGTCAAGACTGAATAGATAAATGGTAAATAAACTGCATGCAATGGTAGTATCACTTAAACTGATTCTTCATAAACACTATGCTGGATTGCTGTCCTTTGGTGCTTGAGGCAAGACACTACGCAAATGGTAACAGGAAAAAAAATATTCATGATTACATATTAAATTGCAATGACAACAATTATTTTAAAGGACTACGAAATTTGTGTTCTCCAACACTATTACTGAACTCGTTTAATCCACCTATTTTTCAGATTTGTTTTAAATGCTTTATAATAAAGGGCGCTCAATGATTGAGGAAACCTGGCAACAGTGCTGAGAGGGCACAACATTTCTCACAGAGTGCTGCTGTAACTGCCGATAGCAGAATGAGTCATTAGCACTCATAAATGCAAGCACTCTCTATAGCATAGAGTGGATGCAATGTTTCTCCGCGACTACTGTGCCCTTCCCCATTAGCGAGAGTGCAGTCCTGTTGCTGATTCCCTCGCATCAGTTTCTGTACATGCACTCATTTATAAGAATACTGTAAAGAGATAACACAAACTTACTGTGCTTTATAACAGGTGCTGAATGTGACCCCCTTCTGCTTGCAAACATGCCTCGCATCATATAAACAAATTATGCGACACTTTCTGAAGTTGATCCATGGTAATTGAACCAGTTACATGTGTTATTTCATTCTGCAGAGCTTCAGTGGTGCGAGGATTATTCTTGTATACTTTTCCCTTTAGGTTTCCCCATAGAGGAAAATCACACATAGTCTCCTGCTGATTATTCTGTCTTCACACACTTCCAGTATTGGCACCATGGTTGCATTAGCCATATGCGCTGTAGTGTTGCCTTGCTGAAAATACCCATAGTGTCTTTCTTCAGCAGTCAGCTGACTGAACAATGGCTTCAGTATATCATTAACGTAGTGCTCAGAGTTTACGGTTTCGGAGAAAAATAAGGGACCAATAATTTGCACTTACAGCACACCACAACCCCACCTTTTCACTATGTAATGGCACTTGCTGTATAGCATGAGGATTTTCATCGCTCCATATTCTTACATTTTGTGCACTGACATGACCACTAACATGAAACCATGCTTCATCACTCATGAACAGAAGCTGTGGATCCACAATTCCATCGTGCACATTTTGCAGCAGCCAGCTGCGAAAACGAACTCTTGCTGCACAATCTGGTTGTTTCAGCTCATGGAAAACTGTTGTTTTATACAGGCGAAATTTGTTTAATTTTGTGGCTGTGTAAGGAGATCCTAGCAAAACACCTGTTTCCTGTGCTAAGCATCTTAACGATTCTCAAGGGCTGGTCTGTAGTCGTGCCTCAATATACTAAAGCTTTTCTTCAGTCAGCTCAATCCTCTTCGACTGCTCTTTATGTCCCACACTGAACCTGTGGTCCACCACTTTTTCACAAGCTTGGACACAAATGACTTTATGGGAACTGGTGAATCAGGATATTTACAACAAAACTTAAGGATATATTTTCTGTAAGTTTTTTTCCTTCCAAAGGTTTCGACAATAAACACACACTGTTCAATAGTGAACTTCATTTCAGTATGAATGTCAACCGCCTATTGACACTTCTAAGACAGACTGACTATTAATGCAACTTACTGCAGTGACAAGATCAGACCACCTGACAGCAAGCATTTATCAGCGCTCATGACTCATTCTGTTATCATGAGTTACAGAAGCAATCTGTGAGGAATGTTGTGCCCTCTCAGCGCTGTTGCCAGGTTTCCTCGATCACTGAACGCCCTTTATTATCAGTATATCTCACAAATTAGGTCTAAGACATTTCTGAAGAGTTGTACAAAATCAGCTGGAAATGTGGATAAATTAACAATAATGAGTAACGTGAATTACAGACTGCAGAATAAAAGTACTTTGCTGCTTGTTTGTTGTGTATTCTACATGAAACTGAGAATTAATACTGTCACGTGTTAGTGACTATAGAGAGGGTTTGGATTGGTGAATAGATTTACTCACCACTTATGCATATGACTCAGAACTACAAGCAATTACAGCACTATTGCTGATCTAAACACTATACTTGAGCACAGCATACACTTAGTCTCAGTCTTTTATAGTCTTCCCTAGTTGTTGCTTAGTAACAGCTCTCAATAATGGAGATTCTTCAGCTTCTGTGCTCACAACATTGCCTGTTGGCTAATACTACTCATAACTGAACTCACTGCTCCAACTGCCCTGGTTATAACATTTCAGCACAGACCATATAGCAAACACCCTGTTTCCAACAGTAACTCTACTGTTGCACATGTATTGATTGCCATGGGAATGTGACTCCAGCAAGAGAACGGATTGATTCTTAAATTAACACGATGACAATGTATGACTGTATATCACAATTGAGAAGGGAATACATCATGAAGGGTGAGCAGGAAGGGTTTTAAAGGCGTTAATGGTTTTTTTCAAGGTACTTGTACCTGTACAAATTGTGGGGAATCATGAAAACTTCAGAGACTCACACTTCCTGAATAAAAGTCTACAACATTACACCTACAAGAACCTGTACAATCTCTTGCAAAAGAAAACAAACCAAGGGGCATGCATATGTTTCTGTATAGCACAGAGAATAATAGAGTCACCTAAGTGCTGCTTCATTAACCTGGAATCTGTAAACTTCATAACATAAAGCAGTTACATCACTTAACATTTCATGATACACATAATGTGTTACAGTACATCCTTGTCTAAGGAACTCTGGTTTAGATCAGGTTGTATTAAGTCAGGTTAGGTCAGTGTTGGTCATATTTATCCACTATTACATCCACTGATCAGATTTGTTGACATATAATCATGAGTGGCCTTCAAACATTTTTTTATCATTTTCTTGATTGAGTTTTGATTCATGTAAAGTAGTTACATAACCACTTTACTTGCTACCTGCTTCTTGCAGGCTACTTGCTTGGCTTGGTATTCAACCGAAAATGTCATTGAACTTCTACCTGACCACATGATATTGCATATGAGAATGTAATATTGTTCAGTCACTGCTATGAGCACCTTGAATCCAAAAGGACAAACTTTATTCCTCCTTTTTGTAATGTTTCTGTGTGCAGCCATTAACTTAGGAACTAACAATTATAGTAATTATATTCATAAAATGATTTTCTACCTGCTTTAGCTGCTTCAAATGAATAGTAGGAATCACCAAGCTCTGCTGTCACCTCACGAACCCGGGGACTGGGTAGCTCAGAGTTATTGAGATCATGCGACACGGTGATCCGGTCTTTGTCATCTTCTCCTACCTCATCTCCTCGGTGCTCCAGTTCACCAATTAATTTACCCTGTAGCCAATAACATTACAATGCAAATGGTTAATTTGTCAGTGGGACCAACATCATAAAACCTGTGCAATAATCAATGTAATCATTACGAAAGAAAACTGTCAGGAAATGGTGTGTTCAGAAATGACATAAAAAGAACACTATAACATAGCTACAGTATCAAATATACTCCTTAAAATCAAGACTTCTAAAATACACTGAAGACAATATTAATATGATGCAGCAACATACCACTACAGCAACGCTTTCATATATGCAAACACATATACTTACTTAATTATTTAATGAGATAAATTGTTATTAGCTAATGCAACAATGACAACATTTTAAAACTAAAATTACAATTCTATGAAGATACTACCTCTGGCTTGTGATGTCATACAATCTGGCATATATTTATTGATGTTCCTCTGATATATCCGTTAAGTATCTACTAGACTATACGGCAGCACAACCCAGGAGACAATACTCTCCACAGTCACTGCTGTGAAATCTTCACATGTTTCAGTTATCCTCTAAGGGAAGCAGCCTCCATAGTCTAGAGGTAACGTTCCCACCTCATGACTCGTGATACGCGGGTTCAAATACCCGGCAGAGGTCGTCGAATTTTTAAGGGCGGAAAAATTCAGGGAACAAGTCCTCCAGGAGGGACTTTAAGCCGTGGGTCCCATGTCGTAGCTTTACGGCATGTAAAAGAACCTCACACCTCCAAAGGAGGTCACCAAGTCAAAATTGCGGACGTTTCCCGCCCAACAGCAGTCACTAATACCTCTGGTAGATGGGGGAAGCACTATAGATACTTCTCAGCCAGTAGAGCCGGTCTCGCTGGCTGGGAGGGACTGATGGTAAGCACCAATACCAGTAGGCTATAGAGACTGGTAGAATATCATAGAGGGAAGCACAATGGACCAATACAGGTCTCAGTGCATGGGGAAACCCACCCTTTCCAATAACTAATTAACTAACTAACTATCCTCTAAGGGGAGAGTACACTATGCAGTGTCTGTAGACAGGAAACCTTCGAATCAAGAAAGCCATTTTGTTCCATTATTCTGCCCCAAAGATGGAGAACGTTCCTCTGAAGTGTCACAAACATAATCAAACAACAATGCACCGCATACCACAAGTGTGTAATTTTCATAGCCATTGCCATGATAACTTCAAATCCCACAATTACATTAGCTACCTACATGGTGCATAAGCCCATCCCTTCATTGTTGAAGCAAACAATGTCAAGGAAAGTAAAAATGTAAATACTTTTCTCATGGCAAAACTGTGTGTAGCAAAACAGTGCATAAATCAGGTGAACAAATATGGCAATATTTGAAGGATGGATACAAAATTTGTATATTTTCCACATATTACCTGCAGATCCTGGACACAGGTTGCAGGAGCTGTAACAACACGCAGCCGACAAAATGTTGCCCCTGATTTGCGTCCCTGTTGCTGGTTCTGGTTAGTGACTGAAGTAGGTGTGCTTGGAGCAACACCAGATGTCTTCTTGCCAGTATGCTGATGTTGCTGTGTGTCAGAATTGCTGCGAGCTGATGCCATCACTGCATCACCTTCATAATCCACTGCTTTATCAGTTGCAGGAGCATTAGATGGAGGAGTATGTTGCTGATGGAGGTGCGGGTGTGTCTCTGGTGTGGGGTCCACCCCTGCCATTGAAACTGCTCGACGCTGTGCAACTTGCTGTTTCTTTGGTGAGCCTAGTGACAGGAACAAAAGAATGAGAACAAACTAAATTACATAGTTCCTTTTTTCGTGTCATTCTCAAGTCTCCAATTAATTAGTCATCCTTAGATTCAAACACATTAATTAGAATTTTCATTTCTTTTTTCATTGGCGCTACAGCCCTCATTTGGGCCTAGGCCTACCTCCATGAAACTCTCCATTCACTTTGGTTTTACTAGATCTTAGACATATGGTAGGACTCCTTGGGCGGGTGATCAGCTCGTCACAAACACAGAAAAACTCACACAAACATCCAGGCCGAGTGGGATTCGAACCCATGATCCCAGCTTTCAAGCAAGCGAAGACAGCGCATGCCTTAGACCGCTCGGCTACCATGACCAGCGAATTTTCATTTTATCTACCTGAAATTTATGTAATTCCTTCACATTAACACATTTCACACGTATACCAAGGACAAAATATTTTTCTTTCCATACATTTAAATCTTAGTATTTAATAGACGCAAGAAGATAAGATGATTATCATTTTCTGGGATGTGATGCTGTGTAGTCTGGTAAATAGCTAATGACATTTTGGTAGAACATATTGCCTCCATCTTCATTCTCGACACGTGCATACACCAGACTATGCAGCATCGCATCTCAGAAGACAGTAATTTTCACAGTCACTGCCATGGGAACCTGAATTTATTTTTCTCTTAATTTCATTATAAGCTCAACTTCTACTTCTTCTATTGTTTCTAGCGCTTTAAGTTTAAAAAAAAAATGGATAATAATTTATTAACTGTTATTACCTGTTGACCTATTACAATTAGGTGGGTTAACTGAATGTTACAGTTTCATACAAGATTCACATTCTACAATTTTTTATACACTTAAGAGATCAGTTTCTGTAAATATTCAAGGCAGAATTCCAAAGCAGTATAAAAATTATGCTTAAAATCAGTCTAGACTATCTCAACTCTATGTGAAATTTCACAGTTTATGCAAAGAAGAAACATGTTTACTAACGTATTATATTTTAGCATCATATTGTGTGTGTGAAATGTCTTTATTCTGTCACTTTATTCTGCTTCTGTCACTTGAAGCACTACTTGAATATGTACATAGGCATACAGGGAAAATGAGAAATAAACTAAAAGACTTGTTCTTACTCTGAACATGACTATGTAAGGTGCATTTGTGTATTTTAAAGGGACGCTAATAAAAACCAGACAGGACTGCACCGTGTCTCTGTTACAGCTGTGCAGGCCTCATTACATCAACACACCAGTATCTGACCATGAAAGAGCAAATTAATTTATGACAAAAAACATGGTAGGTAATTAATATAAAACAATTAACACAAGAATAGTACCACACAGTCTGCAATGGTACTACCGAAATTACTGTTCACACTGGCACAAGTTATATAAAGAAGTTAGAAACTGCAATACAAATTATAAAGGGAACTGATCAATTAACCGTAGTTCTTTCTACTAACCAAACAAGTTTCTGCTTAAAGTGGGGGGTAGGACTTCACTTAAAAGTCCCATCATGTATCTTTATCATGATCTAGGTGAACACCATCATTCATGATCCTTTAAAAATCTTTGACAAAGGTTCCTCAATTTTACCATTATTACAGGTATGTTCAACAATGTCCATTGTCTAAAAAGTAAAAGTAAAGCTATCCCTGTAACAGGCCGTGGAGGCCCATAGGTTTGTGAGATGCTGAGGTTCCAACATTTTCTAGACAATCGGCTCATAGATGACAGCAAGATTGTCAGCCCTGCACACCAGTTGCCCTTTACCCCCAAGAATATTTCAGGAATATTCCTGGTACTCATTTCTGTTAGAGGCTGAGTCGACCTCAAGGCTATAGTGTGGCTGGAAGGATTAGGTCAACTGAAAAAAATCCAAAGGCCTCATCGGGACTTGAACCCGCGACCTTCCGGCTTATAGCATGGTGCCTCTACGCTACCGCGTGCCCCTATCCATCGCCTAAGGTATGTTTAATATGTATGTTTTGGCAGTTGGTTCTGCTCTTGTCTTCTGGTCATTTGTTCTCACATTTTTAGATTTTTCTGTTTTATTTTAAGATTTGTGGAAGCAGTTTGGATCGAACCCAAGATTTATCAATACTTGCGCTTAGCATACTAACCTCGTATTCATAATGTCCTCACTTTGGGAGCCAGTTTGCCCTCCATTTTCAAACGTCAGTGTCTACTGAGTGAACAGATATTCTAGGACTTCTGTTTACTTGTTCACTTATATAGTATGAGAAGGTATGAAAAAGATAGATCTCGAGATTTTTATGGGTTTAAAATTGTCCCCCCCCCCAACATTTTTTGAAAATGCATTCTGTCTGTCTGTCTGTCTGTCTGCGTGCCTTGATAGAAACTGAAGAGTTGGGTGGATTTTATTCATATTCAGTGTCTAAGTGACTGGTGAATATAAATATGAGGGTCGTACTGAAAGTCATGAGCAACAATTTTTTGTAAAGTAACATGCTTTATTATTGACAAACCAAATACACCACCTCAATTTACAGAACTTTCTTTATTTTTCCACATAATCGCCACTTCTGTGTACACATTTCTCCCAGTGTTCTGGGAGTTTGAAAATTCCCCTTCTGTAAAATTCTGTTCCAGCCATCCAAAGACACTGACGCAATGCTTTCTGAATTGCCTCCCTTGTCTCAAAACGTTGTCCACGCAGCTGATCCTTCACAAATCTGAAAAGATGGTAGTCGGAGGGTGCCAGATCAGGGCTATAGGAGGGGTGTGGAAGAACTTCCCACCCCATCTTTACAATTGCTTCCAATGTGAGGCGAGCGGCATGGGGGCGAGCGTTGTCATGCAGGATGATGATGTTTCATCCTGGACGTTTATCGCGCGATGCACAACGGAACTTGTGCAGTGTCTGGACATAATGAGCAGCATTGATGGTTTGCCCAGGTTCCAGGAATTCGGCCAGAATAAAACCCTCTGCATCCCAGAAGACAGTGCCATCACCTTCGCAGCTGATGGCACTGTCTTTGCCTTCTTTTTTGATGGAGAATGCAAATGGTATCATTCCATACCCTGCCGTTTCATTTCAGTCTCAAAATGGTGAAACCAGCTTTCATCACCTGTCACAATACAGAGCAAAAAAATCATCGCCTTCGCGTCGATATCTCTGCAGCAGTTCTGACCTGATGGCTTTTCGGTGACCTTTCTGGTCTTCAGTCAATAACCGCGGGACCCAACGAGCACAAACTTTCCTATAGCCCAAGCTTTCAATCATCTCCTGTACTGCACTGTGCCCTATTCCAAGTTTTTGGACTATTGTGTCCACTGTCACATGCCTGTCATCTTGAATGATCTCATCCACCCTTTCCTTGTTGCATTCAGTTGAGGCTGTTCGAGGACGAAGGCTCCGAGGCTCATCTTCGATGCTGGTGTTCCCATCTTTAAAATGTTTCACCCATCTTCGAACACTGCTCGCACCCATGCACACACTTCCATAAGCACGCTGAAGTCTCTGGTGAATTTCTGCAGCAGGGATTTCCTCTTTCACAAGACATTTGATGACAGCACGCTGGCAAAACGACATATCGTTGTTGGCCATTTTGTTAGGAGTAATACTGGTCACGTGATGGAAGCTATTGACATCACAAGACACTCAAGGTTAACACAACAGCTGGTTCCACCTACCACAGTACTCTCTTTCGTCTGCTGTTCCCAGGTTGCACGCAAAAAAAAGTTGCTCATGACTTTTGGTACGAACTACGTATTAGCTCCAGAAACAGGGGGCCCCAAACATAAAATTGTGATTTTCTAAAAAATGGCTCCAACAATTTTTATTAAATTTCATTAATTATATAGGCCATATCCCTAAATAAAACAGCACAAGCTGTATCTTTAGGAAAATGACAGTAGGCACACCATGTGATGAAACATGATATCAAATTTCTTAAAACTGGCTTTACAAGTCAGACGAGCTTTAGAGCTGTTCAGTATTCAGCAACTGACAATGGTTCACTAAGCGACAATCAATTTTGTTTCTAAGAAAACATAGGCAAGGCCCACTGCACATGAAAAAGTCTTTATACTGACTTTTATTTCTTGAGGGGAGAGGACAACTGGTATTTATGATCATGCTCATTCCCATTGTACTATATTATAAGGCAATTTTATCTTACCAAGTTCATCATGTTTCAAATTTTGCCTTGCCATTTATCATAAAACAAACAGAATTCTTTATAAGGGTTGAAAATTAGCCACAACATAGAATTTACATCTACTGACATGAAACAGGCTCGTCCTTTTAAATTTTTGCTCAGAACATAAGAAACTTCTACTCTGATTACAGGTTAGAGTTATTAGATACATGGTTCATGGTGAAGAGGACATTTAAAAATTTAATTTACATGATGGTGTAAATTGTGAAATTTTCAGCATATGTTCCTTTTGGGGGGGGACTTCTGCCGGGACATAAAGATTCACCTTGCAAGAGCTGTGTGTTTGTGTCCAGTGGCTGGTTTGAGGCTTGGGTAGCAGCCAGGGTAGCGTTGCAGTTCTTGTCTATAACTAGCTTGTCACCTCGGTCACGATTTGTCTCTGTCACCAGGGGCGATGTCGTTTCCTGGTGTAAGTTGTGACGTCGTCTTCGACACACACTCTCGTAGTCAAGCTGCGCCTGCAAGTACAAATCAAAATTAGCTACCCTCTTAATAGAGAATATCTTTTGAGTCAATCAGATTAAGTATTATGTATTCATTTTCAGGAGATAATTGTGTGCTTTGGAGGTCCTGACAATGAAGTCCATTAGATTATGCCAAATGTCAGTAACCAGCCCACCACAATATGGTGCCTTCACAAAAAAGTGAACACTATGAGTATGTCTTAACAAACCACATACAAATCTAAGCAATATTCAGCTGTTTAAGAAATGTAACACTGCTACAGAACCAACGTTTTATCATTGCCACAGAAGACTATAATAAGATTCCACCTTGAGCCAGTTTAATCTGGATTATATCTTAATAATATACTTCCATAAGGGCTGTTTTAATATTATACTTCCATCAATGTCGCAGTCTCTCATGAGGTCTTTCAACTAAAGTCTTGTATGCATTTCTAATTTTCTACATGCATATTAAACTTCAATTCACTGCTAAATTCTGGATGAAATCACTCTAAAACACTAAGAAAAAAGTACAACCACAAAATTTTTACAGAATAAAATTAAACATAACCAAAACAGTAACACTGACAACAGCAGCATATACCCAATTATCTGCTCTACATTTTATGCATGAGACTCTTGGCACATTTAGAACCCTGTGGAGTGGTTATTAAGCTTGTTCAGTCCATGGTTTATGCTAACCGTCTTACAGTGTATACACTTTTTCACCTTATTCTTCACTTCCACACTACATGTTTCAGCACTAATGTGCCATCTTCAGGTGTCTTTATGCACGTTAAACTATTGTACTGCATGCCATGATGTCTTCATTCTAAAATGACTAAAATCTGTATTCGTCATGTATGTCAATGAATTCTAAATAATAAAACTTTTCAGGATTCTTCCTACATCGCACTCAAACACGCAAATTATGCCAATCCTCTTTTATGTGAGCATTCTTCCTACATACATTTGTGTATTGTGTTTTGCTCCTGTTACTGCATGCGTCGTATTGCAAAAGTGTATACACTGTAAGACGGTTAGCATAAACCATGGACATGAATCAGTGTAACAGGATGCTAAAATATAACATTTGTTCAGTCCACCTGCCCATCTGCATGCATGGAACGTCCCAAGGAATTGCTCTGCATATTTTCACGAAAATTCAATACTACAGAATTTTATAAAAAACTACCAAACCATTTGAACTATTATTTACACCACACAATTTTAGCAGCCACTTTACGTTAAGATGAACACACATTTCTGTGAATATCTTGAGTTTAACTCACTAAATATTTATAGAAGAAAAAAGGTTTCAAACAAAAAGTGGGGAGTAAAATGAAACACACATTTGATGTCCAACACACTTTTCCATAAGTCTCATAGTTTCAAGTCTATAAAACAAATGCATACATTTCCAAATGTCTGCACTCAGGAGTCATCACTGCGACAGCAAACCATAAAATACTTTGGATTATCAGCGTTTTCTAATTATTCATTAGTTTTACAGTGTCAAGATAATTAAAAAAAAAGCTATGTTATGCATACATTTCTGAATTTATATATTCAGCACTCACCACTGTGACAGCAAGCCATAAAATAATTTGGATTATCAATGTTTTCTGATTATTCACGGGTAATTCTGCCATCATTTGTGTGGATAAGTTGGAACATACTGTTATTAGCACACTCTGTCTTCAATTGTTCAGTTTAAATTCCAAACTCCCACTTGAATAATACTCATGAAAGGCTACAAACCATATGTGATCACAGAGGAAACTCTCTTTATAGACATCCTCAGAAGTACATCCTTATTTGCAGCCAGATATTCATACCCTGGTAGATTTGCTAATTGTTAAATGAACAATTCACCTGTCTTTCACATACACAGCTCAAATAAACATGAACATTAAATCCCAGTATAACGACTATCTTCTTGATTGCTGTTTTAACTGCTTCCATATTTACTGTTTACTAAAGCACAATAGACCTTTGAAGGTTGCAGTGCTAGGGCCAGTTTTATGGCTCACCCCTCATTCTCATACTGTTTACTAATTCTTGTTTTCACAGAAATGTGAGGCAATTCAGTATAACTGCAGCACCCAATCTATTAAGTTCTACCTCTCTTGTAAATGGGTGATGTTCACTTTATATAGCACCAGAAAATACAAGGGAACATGGTGAAATTGTCATCAGACCAAGAATAACATTTATAGTACCTGGAATAATGTCCTACTTAAGATATGCTGAATTCAGGTTCAGAAAAAATATGGAATTCAAACAAGAAAATATCCTAAAGAAAAAATACTACCAATATTCCAATATAAACACTCACACAGGTGTCCTGGACAACTACAAGTACTGCTCATACAGCACTATTGGCCAACCTTACAGGAAGAGGTAAAGTAAAATATAAACTTATGCCTATGCCATCATGACATAGACATATATTCAGAGTAAAGGAAGGCTTCACTTATTCTTAACCAGAACTCTAGGTGGATTTAGTGACTAGCTTCACAATGTCATCATTAAATTTAGGGAAAAAGATCTGGTATCCTTGAACTGGAGTGCAGATGCAGTCCAGTACAATGAATATGCCACTATGAGAACATTTCAGAGTCCATGGCAGAAAAAGAATACTGGCCAAACATGGAAGTATTTCTTAAATATTTAATAAAAAAAGTAGAACATAATTCAGAAACTCTTGCACCAATATGACAGTTGCAACACCCATCTGACCTCGAGTTCCCGCCTGTTGTCTGGCTCAATGTTTTCTTGGTTGTTGTCAAGACTTGTGATGAGGTTGTCCTCCATGAGGTTGTCCGTTATACGAGTAGCTCCTAGGATGCCTGTTGCTGGTCGAGTGAGTATGGCAGGTGAGGTGGTAGCTGCAGGAGGAACTGCATTGTCTGTTACTGAAGTTACACTCGGCACCTTCTCCCAGTCATAGGGATCTGATTCCTTAACTCCTCGACGTTTCATGCAGCGTTCAAACAGGCCAATCAACATCTGAAAATAATAGTCAAAGTACACAATATGTAGGACTATCTGTCCAATATTTTAAAAATGATACTAAAGTTTTTTGATAATGTGATTACCATATAAATCATGTAAGAAATAAATGGAATCCAGCCAAATGGAATGAGAAACGTAACAAAGAAAAATAGAAGAGACAGGCTTAAAAACAAAGTTGTAAGAAACACAACTGAAATCAGTATATTAAAACAAAATTTGGAAACAAATACACTTAAATGGCTAGGAGAAAGATGAAGATAAATTGAAAATGAAGGAAAAAGGTGGATTTGCAAGAAGGCCTCTGAAAAATAATGAAATAGCCAAGTATGATAGGAAGTGACAGAATTAAGAATAGTCTGGGGTGGAAACTTTTATTTCAGACTTTGTGCATGAGAGAACATGTTAAGGGAGGAGGACACACCGATTGGTATAACCATAATTTATAGACAAAATTCCACTACCAAGACATAGATTATGTTTGTTCTTTAGTTTACAAGTTGAAACCTAACTTGTCACCAGATGTGTCAACGGTTGTGAAACTCCCAATACAATGAAACTGGTCCCAAGTCAATCAACAACTCTGTATCCATGGTGTTAATCACTTACAGCATAATCAGGTTTATCTGCATATTCTAGTGACTGTATATGGTCCAGGAACTGTCGTAGGTCTGATGGCAAGTGTTTCAATAGCAACCGATGGTCGTACTTCTCTTTCATTAGGCCAACCTGTAATGAAGAGGAACATGCCAGTAAGAGGTGTGGAAGAGGAATGGCATTACTGCATCTCTCTGTTGCCTTGCACATTACTTGCCTGTTCCTTGTCTTTGATTTTCCTCCATGGCAGCTGCCCATTCACAAATTCTACTAACATGTAGAACAGCGACCACAGGTCATCATGGCGACCCATTTCCTGCAGGAATACAAGACACAACTGACTTGACTCATAAATGGTGATTTCATGTATCTCTTGACTAATGTTAAGAAAATATGGAATATGAATAAAGCTCACATGGAAGGAACTCTTTTATCAGTGTTCATTACACATTCAGAGTAAAACGGTATAATTCTATATCTGTACACCACTGAATTAAGAAAAAAGTTTGGCTTCAATAAAACATGCATATAATTTTAAAAATATTTTTAACATATAACATATTTCATTTACCATAAATATGAAGTTAGTAATAATGACTATAGAAACAATTTAGTCAAAATTTGGCACGGGCAGGACTGCCCAATCAATGGCATATGCAGGCTCCATGCAGCCCACCTGTTTGTTCTGAAAGTATCCTTTCACTCCCCAAAATATGAGTTAACCCCTTCCTCATCTCTAATGGAAGGTGGATAATCACCCACAAACCATAAAGACCACAGAAAATGCTTACTAAATATTACATTTGATATTTTAACTGAGATCACTTCACACTCGATAAATAACTGCAGACAGCTGAAATTACTGACTCTATAAATACTGACAAAATCTAGCAAATCTTCAGCAGTTAATTTTTAAGCAATGTCAATCTGGAAACATTGTTTGATGGCCTTACTATGCACGGTTGTGTTGTCTGACCAATCAGATCAGAAGCTGTATTTTATTTTATTGAAAATACATATTTTTTATGATGCAGTCTGCAGGCAGGTACCTAAGTTAGAGCACAGCCCCTAAGTTGTTTGAAGTTGGAAGGTCTGGTACAGGGTATTTTTTTTTAAAGTCTACTTCTCTACCCATTCAAAAATATGCAATCACTTAGCCCAAAGGTTCGCCATTTTTACCACAACAGCCTTACTTCCAATCCTGACATGAAAGCTTTGATTTTACTTTGTATTATTATGAAAGATTTGGCCATGAATAATTTTAATATTGTTACCTCTTTTTCTGTTTGGTTTCATGACATTTTAATGTAAGTTCTCCTTATCAGAATATTGTATACAACTGTCCGTACAATTTTTGTTTTGCCTGTGTGTGCCAAAAGATCATCTCATTTCAACTTTCAACATACCATCCTAATAATACAGAGCCGGTCATGGTAGCTGAGTGGCCTAAGGCATGCACTGTCTTCGCTTGCTCAGAAGCCGGGATCGTGGGTCCAAATCTTACTCAGGGCATGGATGTTTGGTATTTGTGAGTGTGCGTTTTTCTGTGTTTGTGCGCAGGTAGTGTAACTGTACCACTGCTATGCAACCCATTTAAATGTAATTAATTTTATTAATTAGAAATTTTAATTGTTCACAATGGGATGCAATGAACAAGTGCAGTGAGACATAGGTCTATTCTTGCATGTAAGAGTTAGCGTCTTCTCACACAGGCAGAGAACAGGAAGACAACCTGTCGTGAGTTCTTAGAAATTTACATGAAAGTGTAACTACGAAATCTTTTGTGAATTCAATTTTTGACAGCTTGTGCATACCATAACTTAAAGTAGTGAAGTTTTAATGACCCAAGCCAAGCTTCACATTTGTCAAGATTCTGACAGAAAGTATGTTGGAGCTCAGGAACCTAAACTCCTTGTAATCTTTAAACGGAGTGGAGGAATAGCTAATTAAGAATTTCCTATCTTTTAAATGTGACCAATCACTAAAATTTAAGGGTGTGACAGAGCCGAGACACTGATGAAACAAAGACCTGAGGGTTCGAAGGGAAGTCAGTTGTCGAAGTCAGTCACACACCGGCCCGCGTAGAAATCAGACGTAAAAGTCACACACCGGCCCACATAGAAATCAGACATAAAAGTCACACACTGGCCCTCGTAGAAATCAGACGTAAAAGTCACACACCGGCCCTCATAGAAATCAGATGTAAAAGTCACACACTGGCCCTTGTAGAAATCAGACGTAAAAGTTACACACTGGATCTCGTAGAAACAGGACATAAAATTTACTGATTTTGAAGTTGTATTAAAAAGTGGCTCAACAAGAGTTCAATAATAATAATACTTCTAAACTTAATATGTGCTTTTGTAGTTTGTGTTCATCTCTTGCTTCTTTGAGTTGTGGCCCCTTCAAGGATCTGAGACAAGAGAACCTCAGCTCTACCGAACCAACAAATGTCACCTCTTTCTAAATCAACCCTGAGATAAAATTTAGTACAAGAGAGAAGATAATAATTGAGTTTAACAAAGGTAGGTGAGAGGACAGTTACAAAGTGGTTTCACAACATGGAGGCAAACAGTTACAAAAAGTGGCGCTCATTGTTGGCCCAGTAGTGGAGACATCGAGCGATGAGCTGATCACCCACCCAAGGAGTCCTACTGAATGTCTAAGATCTAGTAAACCGAAATGAAACAGAGTTTCATGGAAGCAGGCCAAGGCTCAAACTGAGGCTGTAGCACCAAAGGAGAAAACAAAGTAATACAGAATATAATGCAAAAAGGCATTATACAGGCAATTTTCTCAATCCACCATCAGTAAATGTACAACTAGTTACAACAAAATACTTAAATATACAGTCTCTGGGTGTGGAATAAGATCTGTACAAAACAGCATACTTCACATTGAAGTTCAATTAATTAAAAAATAATAGAGAAGTTACAATGAGTCTGAACACTGACCTTGTTCTTGTGGGCATTAATGGATGCATAGCGGACAGTGCCTCTGAAGCCAGCTGCCGCACGAGGGGCACGCACCTCTCCTGTAGCTGTTGTGTACTGACGAGCCAGACCGAAGTCTAACATGTATACTTTACGAGCATTGTGCGGTAGTCGACCAACAGAAAAATTTGACTGAAAATTATAAGAGATTATTGACTGCAGAAGTACTTAGTTGGAAATACAGTTACACTAGCAAGTTGGACAGTGACTGCATATACCTGAAATCAGGATACTACATTAGTACTTGTCATGAAAATCATATTTCTTTTTATTATTTTAGATCAATCACACCACAGCAATTTATGACCAATACTACCACAGTTTTAAATCCGTAATCACACACAGTTTGTTTAGACTCTTCAACATCTCCCAATCAAAAGGAGATTTCCAATTAATTATTTCTTCAATAAAAAAAAAGATACAATTTACAAAGACCATACCAATATATGATACAGTAGGATATAAAAGGCACTGAAGTAACATTATAAGTGAATTTAACTTATGCAAATTCAACCATACATGCTCACTAAAATAAATAAATAAAAAAGTAAAACTTAAATAGTGCAGGCATTTCATCTATAACTCTCTCTCCTTCACCCAAGCATGTTTCTGCATCTCCAGCATCAACACTGAACCTTGACTACCCCTAGGTTTACTGTTTTCATTTTTTATTGTCTCATTCTTCCACCTTTCTCCATATTTTTTATGAAAATAAAAATAAAATTACTGTACATTTTATTTGTAGTGGTCTAGTGGTCAGAGTTCCTGGCTAGACATCCAGAGGTCCCGGGTTCGATTCCCGGCGCTACCAGATTTTCTGAGAAGTTGTGGATCTGGAACGGGGTCCACTCAGCCACGTGAGGATAATTGAGGAGCTATTTCAAAAACAGCGGCTCCGGTCTAGAAAACCGAGATTAACGACCATGGGGATCTGTTGCGCTGACCACACGACATCCTCTATCTGCAAAAGTTGGAACTAACTTCTCTGACAAGCGGCGGTTGCTCGGTCGGTATAGTTCGATTGCGGACTACAGGCCACAGAATCTGTTTTATTTTTTGTTTTTTTATTATAGGTATATACATTAGAGGGTACTTCATGGGAAATTTAAGTGATTTTCAAGGGTAATTCTTACTATACACGATTCTGGATTTATGCAGCTTCTTTAGAACATAACCCCACCCCCCATAAGAAGTGACTCCATTGTAATAATTTATTGTTCATGTTTGATGTAACTAAATATGCACTATAAATTCCTTTGCATTAAGTGCCTCATCATATCCATTGCATACATCCAAATAAAAATCACATGAATGCTGTATAGTTATTTACTGAAAATGCAGACTGTGCTCAACAAGAGGATAATGCTACAACAGATCTTAAAGAAACAGGGTGGGAAAATGCAGACTGGATTTGACTCAGGATGGGGACCAATGGTAAGGTAATGAACTTTTGGGTTCCATAAAAGGCATAAAATCTCCCAACTAGTTCAGGGATTATAAGCATCACGCAAAAACCATATGCAAAATCACTGAGGTACTAAAGAGTGCAAGCGAGACAAGCATACACTGAGATGACATTCCCAAAATAACATTTTTTAACTTGGGGGTGCCTAAAACAAGCTTACCCATTAATACCATGAGGCTGACTTCTTTTTATAATCACAATACTGTCCCTATACTACAAACAATATGTATTCTGAGATGCCTGAGATTCAGAGGATCAACAAAGGATGTAGAGCTGTTGAATTTGTTGACTACGTCATTTTCCATTTATACAACATAATATAGTACTTCAAAATCTGAAGGAAGTAAGAAGTTTGTTGCATCTCCTTGCTTAATGGTGACTTCACTTTTACATTTTCATAAAATGAATCTAGTAATCAAGTGATGACAATGTAACTGTTACATCTGATGTGGAGGAAACGTCATTACCAGGAACTAAGCTTGGTTTGTTTTAACTTTAAAAAGTTTTGGTTTAAATAATCTGACATGTTAAAGCCTGTGAATAAACGATGTAGCTGAGTATGCTGCAAATAAATGAGTGCTACAGAATCATGTACTGCTACAGACATGAGGCATACAAGCATTTATTTAATTGAAGAAAGCAGTCTTCTGGGATTTCACACCGTGTATATGTGGTGTTAACCGACGTTTCGGAGGAACGTATCGCCTCCAT